TCGAAATTCGAAAATATGATTTTGCTGTAGAACTAGGGTCCAGCAGGAAAAATCCACTAAAAATTCGATATCTCTGTCAAATCTCAATATGGGCACGAATCCTTTGGAGGTTTCTCTAATCTAGTGGTTCCCTACCTAATGGGCAACATATGAGCTGAAAAGCTTTTAATCACTTGGGAACGTTCCCTCGTAAGAGCTCGATATCTCGTCAGAAACAAGCCAGAAATCCGAACTTTTTTTACTATAGACATAGCTCATTATGGGCTACAAGATGCGCGAAACTCCGACTGAAAAGCGCTCCGACACCTGGGAAGGTTCCCTTGTGAATCATGTATAACCATATAAGGAAACTAACAGCTGTTAATTGTCATTTTTGGCATTATTTACATCTCTCGAACGCTGCCGAATTTCGAAAAACGGATTTCAGATGTGCACTCGTCACATTCTCAGGATCTCGGCAAGCTTTTTTCCGAATAAAAATGATACTCAGGAGCTGAGAACGAGTGGCTGACTTGGATCGTGACTCATGTGTTAAGACGAAGAAGAATTTGCCATGGCAACTAAGCGAGTGAAAAGCAACTAGACTGCCATTCAGCGCTGGATGGAATGTCGGCTGACTGCAGACTAGGTGTTCAATTCTTTTAAATCGATAGCTCATTGCTTGGCAACCATTCGGAAATTTTTCTCCGACGCTCAAGATCTCATGACGGATGATTTTAAATTGGAGAAGGCGACAATTAATTAAAATATACATGCATTTTACGTGTTACATATGAATGGTTGGTTCAAGATTGAATCATTCATCATCACATAAAGAAGCTATTAGCTGGTAATTATCGTTTTTCTGTATGTTTATTTCAATCGCTTGGTCGCCATTCGAAAAAAATCTCTACAAGTTTCAGACTTTATCACGAACTAATTTAAGTCGCACAAGGCGATAATTAATTAAAATATGTATGCACTTACCATCCTGGATATGAATGGTCATCTAAGAGTGAATCATTCATACCCATATAAGGAAACTATCAGCTGTTAATTATTCATTTTCGGCATTTCTATATATACAGAACGCCAACGAATTTCGAAAAACGCCAACGGAAAAATTCTTCCGAAAAAAACCGCGGTAATCTGAGATTAATCGCAGTTTTGTTCCACATTTTGAAAAACCGCGAAAGTCAGATCTTTTATGCGGTTGTTGGAAACCAGCGAAAACCGCGGTTTGCAAATACCGCGATGAGAACCGAGAAAACCGCGGTTAGACCTGCAAAAACTCAGCTTGGACCGCGATTTTCTCGGTTCTCACCGCGGTTTTCGCCGCTTTCAAAAACCGCATAACAGGTCTGACTTTCGCGATTTATGAAACCGTGATTTTTTCTTGAAAAATATTTCCGTGGGCGGACTTCAGATGTGCACTCGTCACGTTCTCACGATTTCGTCAAGCTTTTTTTAAATTGAAAATTATAGTCAGAAGCTGAGAACGAGTGGCTGACTCGAATCGTGACTCATGTGTTGAGATGAAGAAGAAGAAGACGAAGAAGAATTTGCCATGGCAACTAGGAGAGTGAAAAGCAATAAGTCGGCTCTGCCTGCACTTCGTGCAGTCAGCCGACTTAAAGAAGAAGAAGAAGGGTGTGGGTGTTGATGTGTGGGTGTGGGGTGTTTGTGTGAGTGTGGGTGTACTGGTACCCGACATTGAGACCCACACTCCACACCCACACCCCACACCCTCACACACCCACACCACACCCACCACCACACCCACACCCAACTAAGCGAGTGAAAAGCAATCAGTCGGCTTTGACTGCACTTCGTGCAGCCAGCCGACTTAAAAACGCTTCTATCAATAAGCATTAAATGGAAATAAAATCAATTTAATTGAGTTCTTATTCTCACTATAATCTTATGTCATCAACTTTCCTATAGTAATAATCATATTTATTGTGCAACTTTTTAATCTTCAAATATATTCTCTAAGATTATATTCATATAATTTATCTTTATTTAAAACAAAAAGGTATTTTAACTGAAAATATCAATGGAATCATATGCATTTAACTTGTTTGTCAATGAATTCTTTTTTCCCCACGAAAAAAAAGAACAAACGCCTAATAAATGATGCTCTCAAAGACGTTTTGAAAACAGTGAGGATAAATAAATGTGATAAGTAATGTTGATTGAAGAGAACAAAAGACGTTCTCTTTCATGTATAAGTTCAATTGATGTCCTTTTCGATGATATTTCACAGTGCAAAAAAAAACGGCCTTGTCAATTAAAACAGATGAATGTAATCGCCTTGAAAATGTAAAATAGGCCTTTGGAAATTAAAAACGATTTTATTCTAATGTAAAAAATAGGTTTGTTTTTCAAAAATTTGACGTTGAATTCGGTTGTGGACATAGTTTTTTTCATGGTTAATCTTTATGGGTGATTAACGATCGAAGAGAAAGAAGGAAAGAAAAAAAAGTCATTGAATTTTCTAAAGAGTTCAGTTGAAAGTAAATAGTCTATCTCGTTTTGGTGATAAAGAAATCTCTTCATCAATATATATACATCGATTAAACCTAAAAGAATTGTTTAGAATTATTTTATTAATGATCTTAATTAGAAAATTTCAACGAATATTCTTCAAAAAAAATATTTGTGTTTAGTTCTAAGAACCGTATAACATTTTCATAGAAGAATATTAACACATTTGACACGATTCGATTTTATTCGAGAGTATATAGATCTACAGATTTATTTTCGTCTGCATTCATCTTTTGATAAATACACTCCTTGCTCTTTTCATTCTGTAATAAACTGTCGTTTTCTCTTTTCTGTTTGTAACACCACATGGAGCAAAGTAATCGTTCTGCACTTTGGCGAAAGTCTGCTGAGGTTTTTTCTGCATGTCATGCCATTTGAGAAGCTGCTATCAGCAACCCATTTCAAGTGCGAATTCACTGATCGCTACCTTGAAGAAAAGAAAGGATCTACACGCAATGTCGACAGACGTTCTACTGATCACTATGTGAAGGGAAGGGTACAACAGTCAAGAGAATCGAGCTATAAGACAGCAAACAAAGTAAAAACCTTCTGTTCTAACTGTGATAAAACTTTTTTGTCTTGATTGTTTTAACAAGAAGCATCATGATCATGCTATGGAATAAACAACTCAAAAAAAGCACTCAAGTCAGAACAGATAACACATTATATTTAACCTCCTGCCTAAAAACAAAAAGCAAAATAAAGTGCTTTTTTATACAGTTTGTCGTTAAAATATAGCGTGGCCCACTGGTGGACAACATCGTGGCGAATGTGTTAAGTAGAAATTTATTAGATTTAGTCATTTATTAATGAAAATATTGAAGAATTAACTTTTCTTTTATGATAGTTAATTTATATTTGAACAATTGTCTTAATAATATCTATGAATAAGAGACGGACAAGGAAGAAAAATCGTAAATGAAACAATTTAAAGAAAATCTCACTAAACTAAACTGTTGTCATAATCATCTTTTAAGATTTTTAATCTTGATTGAGATGATTTTCTATTGTTTTTCATCGACAATTGCTATTTGATGCCAACTATAAAAACATTGATAAATAATCAAGATAAAGACTATGAGAGATTTGAGTTTCTTTCTTTCTTCGATTAAGTTCCTTATTGAGATAGAACAATCTGTTAATAAATTCTGAAAATAACTAATAAAATTTACTCGAAGATGATCGTCTATGGAAAATTTCTATGCATCGATATTATATTTAAATCGGCGAGTTTTTTCTTGATTTTTTGAGAGGAATTAAGAATATTTACTATGAAGAATACTGATAGTAAGTTTGACTTTTATGACATTATTTTCTATATTGAATTTGTTAAACAATTGAAATAAACAAATAAATGAATAATGATAACATTAATCGATATACGTAGTTGTTAAGTTTATGAAAATAATCAAAAAAAATGTTCTTACCATTTTTCATCAAATAGAATTTAGTCTTAAAACTACTGATAATATAATTAATTGAACTATTTTATTTTTATTTTTTGATAAATATTTTTCAATTTTATTTAATTAAACAATTTGTTGAAAGATTTTTTTAATCGAAATCTAAAATGTCTGTTAGTAAAAAAAATTATAAATTAAATTAAATTTGATGAATTGAATAAAAATGTAAAAGTAAAAAATATTTTTATTTTCCTCCAGTTGTACCCATCCCCATAGTTGTTTTAAATGTATCATAAATCCACCATTGAAGAGCAGCTATTGTTCCAATCATAAGAATTCTTGTTCCAAGACCTTTTGTACATAAATTAATAATACCAAAATCTTTTGCTATTTGTTTAATTGATTTATCTTTATAATATGGTTTAGCCATTAATGAAACAATTGAATCACCTGGATGAGATACAATAGCACAAATTATTCCAGCTAAATAACCAGCAGCAAATGTTATTCCTAATTGAGTACTTTTCGAATAAGTTGATTTTTCTTTTGTAAATACGTGAGTATACAACATTTGAACAGTCTAAATATATTATTTTAAATTTCTATCATAGAATTTGTTTTATTATTCTGATAAATAATACCTTTTCAAAAAAATAAAATTTCGTAACTGTATATGGAATTTGTCTTGACCATAAAGGTATAATAGATCCATATGGAAATCTAGTTATATTTCTATTTATATTCATTTGAATAGTAGCTGGTATTAATCCTGTTGGAAATGTACCTGGGACACTTGTTTGAACTTTAACTTTAACCATTTCCATAGGACATAAAGCAATACAACCACAAAATTCTGATCCTGCAGCTCCACTAAGCCAAATTAATCCACGATATTTTTGAGAATTTTCATAACCAACTATATTTGATAATATATCTTTAAATACTTCATAAAGACCAAATTTCAGAGCACCTTGTGGAGAATAACCTAATAAAGTAGGTTCCCATCCTTTCCATATAGCTCGACTACCTTCTTCATGTATTATTGTTCGAAGACTACTTAACAAATTTCGATATTTCATTGGATCAACCTTTAATGATTTTTTTTTGTTTTTTTATATAAATAAATAAATAAAAATGATCAAACCTGCATGTTACATTTGGTTACATCAAGAGGTGTTATTATTAAATGTGTTGAACCACATGCAAGAGCACCTCCAATAAAACATTTTCCATAATAAATATAATCATGTGGTACAATACTAGCTGTTCGAGCATTCCATTGTTTAACATTTTCTTCAAATGAATTATCTTTTATCATTATTTACCTAAAATACTTCATTTATATAGTTGAATAATTAAATATAATTATATTATTTATTTCGAGATATTTACTTTAATAAAACAAGACAAAAAAATATAATTCAAAACCGATGAACTTTGAAATCATAATGTTGGATAGTAAATAGAAAAAGGACATATAATTATTGATTGTGGTTAAAAAAAAAAGGCTCACAGCCTGTCGGGAGTAGTACATGGGCAAAAAAATATGCTATCAAAAATACAGAACAAAAAGAAAAAAAAAACGCACAATTCGCTTGATGAAACTTATTGCTGCTGATTTGCAATTGCTACTCAACTGTTTTTATGGAATAAACAAGAAAAAAAAAACAGTGATTCTATTTACCTTGGCAAACCTGATTTTTTTCTTACTGTTTTTTTTCTCTTTTCGAATCAGCAAGATATTTTTAGTTGATTTAAAAATACAAAAACATATTTCATTATTTAAATAAAAGTATTTTATTCGAATAAATTTTAGATATTGAAAAAGATAAATCTTATCCTATTCAATTTTGATTAGCTAAGATAACATTGATCCAGCTGAAAAAATTGTTCGAATAGTTACTTATTAATAGAGATCATTCATCCAAACAGTAGTGGATCTTCCCATTGAGAGGGAAGAATCAAGGCAACCTTTACTCACAAAATGCATTTTTAATTATATTATACATACTATCGTCGCACTTTTGAACATTTTACAATGAGAAAAATCAATAAATATTTCTGATCTTGAGGGTCAGTTGCTTTTGATACTTCTCTTAAAATACGCTACTAGCTAAAAACTACATCGATGATATAATATATTAATGAAAATACTACTTTAGAAATCTATATAAAAAACAGTACAATCGACTGGAACGATTTTCTTCAAAGAAACAGAAAAAGAAACTGATACTGTACACAATAACTGTTCAGAATTTAGTTCGATTCAATTGAATAGGAAACATTCATAAATATCGTTAGATAATTAACATAATAAACAGAATTTAACATAGTGGAGTCACGAAGCGAACCATGGAAACACTCTACTCCTAAAGTTTACAATTGTCAAATTTGATTGGTTATATATTCATTTGGATCATATCTATATTATCTAGATAGACTTTCTCTGACAATTGAATCATATTTTATTTTATTGAGAAATTCATTCAATTTAAAAATTGAATATTATCAATTCTTTTTATATATATTATGATGGTTAGAAGTTCGTAGAGATTGTTTTCAATGAAAAAAATATCTGCTTGATCGTAGATCAATATTTATATTAAAAAATTCTAATCTTGAATAAAATAATTCTATTATTGCCTTTTATTGATAATAGTACCACATTAAATTAAGCAAATATACATACTTTTTTTCAAGAAAGGATATCTAAATGTAAATATAGACGATTTGACCTGTTATACCTCGAGTGATACTCTATTACAGTGTATAAACAATCTTCCTATATTTTACATTTCAATAATCATGAAAAAAAGCATTTAGAAGATTTTTGACTGAATCACTTGAATGAAAGTGTTGAGAATCGTTTTCCGAATTGAATAAAAGAAAATCGTTAGATTTTTATTTAAGAAAACTCTGTTAAGTTGTTTAAGATAATTTCTATTGACTTAAAATTAGATCAACAATAACGAGTAGAATATTTTATTATTAAAAACCATTATTTTAAATTAAATTTAACTATAGATTAATATTCTTTTTTTGTTTTGTAATTTCCAAATATTCTATAATGAATATAATCAATCAACATTCTATCACATTGATTAATATAGATTTATTTGTTTGAAAATGAGATCATCAATAATCTTGCGAAAATTAGTCAATATTTCAAAATTTTACTTGAAAAAATATGTTAACAAAAAATATCGTCAAAGTGATTATGATGATTAAACTAAATTCAATAACAACCATTAAATCACAATTATAACTTATATATGATGATAATAACTCAAAGAAATAATTTATTAGACTAGGTATCGACTAAGTCCAAGGAAATCGGACTTGATTTCGAAAAATATCGGTCTCCATCGATCCATTATTGGTGGTGATTTTCTCAATTTAGTCTTCTCATACATACAGCATAGATCTATCGTTGTGTAAAATTCAATTTCAAGTATAATCAATACAGTGGCACAATAAAACTACTGAAATATTTTTGGGTGCGGGTGTGGGTGTGGGTGGGTGTAGGTGTACTTGTACCCGACATTCAAACCCACACTCCACACTCCACACCCTTGAGAAGATCTTATTTATCGATGTCAATATTTCAAGATCTTCCTTATTAAATATCTTATTAGAATGATGAAGTTTTTCGTATAAACTTTTGGTGAATTAAATATTTATAAATATTGAGAATATTCTGGATATTTTTATTTTTATTTATAGTTGTTTTTCGGTTTTGTTTTAGTATGAATATAAAAAATAAGTAAAATATTTGTCATAATAATATCAATATGAAAATACTTCTTAGATTCCATTAATAGATTAATATTCTTTTTATTTTAGACAATCTATTGATGATAAGGAAATGATAATCGATTTAAATCAATGTGTACTAATAGAGAAAGATAAAGTCATGTTGATCTTATTTTAAATATGATATATGTTTGTTGTTGAATATCGGCTGAGTAAAAATTCAAACGACGCTTATCTTTACAAGAGAATAAAAATAATCAACACATTCCTACTATTTATTTATTATTACTGATTTCAAAAGTTTCATTTAAATATTCTTATTACAAGAGCATATTTCTAATGTAACTCGAAGTATATTAGATAAATTCTGAGTCAATTATTTTACTTTACTTTGTTTACTGATAGAGATGATCATAGATCATTCGACTACACATTTCTTTTTCTAATTAAATAAAATTTCAAATAGTATCTTATGTTTAATTCAATCGTTTTGAATATAAGTTCTATATATTTTGACTGAAAGAGAGACTAATTTTACTATAAATAGTAAACAATTGACAGAGTTCGAGATGTATCCTCTATCCAATTCTATTAGGAATCATTTTAACAAAACAAACTAGGTTAAATGAATTCAGATAAATTAATTTGTCTCTTTGATGTTCTTTAAAATCAGATAATTTGATTTGAAAAGAAAAAAAAGTGAAAGAAGAAATAATTAGCGTTCCTATATCTGCTAAGACAATTTATATACTAACTATTCAAATCAAGTTCGAGTTTTCTTTTGTCAATTAGATAAACTTAATATATATATATATATTGATTTTTTAGTTGGATGTTGTAAAGCATAATTTGATTGAACATATCCAATTGATTTAAATGATATAATTAGTCAAGAAGGTTTTCAAGAATCAATTAATAAAATAAATCTAAAATTTTCTTCATATAAAAATAGTTTAATGATTTATTTGTTCGATTATATTTACTATAATAATGTTATTATGAACAGTAAGTTTTATTTTTGGTGAAATAATAGCAGTTAACTCAATCACAAATATTTATATATTATACTCGCTCTTGGAATATTCTTCAGTACATTTGGATCATTATTATTTCCTATTAGAATTTATCTTATATATTAAAAATGTTCAGCACGAAATAGCTGAAGAATCAATAAAATATCCATCAAGATGATCAAGACCATGTAGCTGGAGATTAGATACGACAATAAGGTGATTTGAAATATATGCTCACAATAATTCTCTATATATATTATCAAGGATTTTATTTTTATTAAAATTTTAAATATCTCTAGAAATATCAATAAGAACTATGTTTAGTCAAGAAAATTCTCAGTATATAATATGTTTTCGACCTATGAAGATAAATTTTCATTAAATTCCACCGATTTAAAAAATCAAAAATAAATTCATGAATTTGGTGAAAATGATCTCTAAAACATCAAGAAAAAATGACATTTATTATGATGAAATATTATTTTCACGAAAGTCATAAAATTCTTTTTTATTATTTATTAAGTGATTGAGTTATACATATATATAGGATTTATTTTTCTATTTAACAATCTATATAGGTCATTCTGTTCGTCAATAAAATATTAATCGAATATATTATTCAAGTAAAGTTGCTCCTGAATCAACATCGTTTTTTCGACAAGAAGAAAATAATGCACCTCCCCTATATTCTCTTCAAACGACCAGATTTTGTTCTCGATGTGGTGTAGCACGACAAAATACTACACGGCAATTTCGATCATCATGCGCAGTTATTCATTCATTCATTCATTCATTCATTGAATAACTATTAAATATGTATATATATATATATATATATGTTTTATTTTTATACTTATAGTTGAATGATTAAACGATTATTTCTTCTTTATAAATCATTTCTTATTATTGTTCGTACCTTATTTATTAAGATATTCTTGTATATATAAATAAAGAGTAATTCTTATAAATCTAATCAATATATAAATAGGTTCTAAAACAGTTGATGAATAATGTTTAAACTAAAAAATTTCTATTTAATCTCAATGGAATAATAATTGTCAAACAAGTTCATATGTGAAAAATTGTTTTTATTCTTCAATATAAAGTAAGAAAAGTTTAATAATTAACTAATGATAATAATTATGTTTATAGTGAATATTTAATAGAAGTGAAAAATATTTTAAACGTTTATTTGATTATTTAAATATTCTATTAATTAACTCTAATATGAATATTATTTAATGTTTAATTAATTAAAACTGTAATTCTGATGAATATTCGAATTTAAAAATGAATAAAATAAATCTTGACGAAGACTAATCTAATGAGTATTTTAATATAAGTATAATTAATATTTGCTAATATTAATGTTAAAATATCAATGATTAGATATAATAAATGAAGTTAATATATTCTTGTTTTTATTTTTCTCTTGTAACATATTAAGTTGATATATATTCTGTTTTTTTTTGTAAAATTATTAAATTAAGGTGAAGAATTTCATTTAATAATTTTATTTTTCAGTTTATAACGTAATTTATCAAGGTTTTTTTTTTTGTTTTTTGTTTTTCGTTTAATATAATTGTATTATAAATCTGTGAAGAATATGACGCACTTATCCTTTAATAAGATCAGTTATTTTATTTGTTTTCTCTTTTCTATTGAGAGAAAAATTCTCGATAATTCTCCTGATATATATAATTATATGAAATATATATTTCATGGATATTTATTTATTGATCAACTTTGAATAATAAAAGATAAAGAAAAAGAGTCACTCGGAATAAGAAAAGTCGTTATTAATTATTCTTTTATTGATTTATCTTCTGTGCGACATCAGGAGATAAATGTTAAATATGCGATATGTTGCCATTGAATCTATTAAAAAAACTAACTTACACATATGCTTGCTATTATTTTGTTTTGCTGCGTGAGTCCTATTCAACTTATCGTTTAGTTTAAAATCTATATAATCAATAAATAGAATAGTTGTTAGACGTATATAATTAAAATTAAAATTCGATATAATGCTCGTTTTAATAATATTTTTAGTCATGTTTTCTGCTTTTTGATGATCTATTCATATGTAATAATAATAGAATTAGAAGAGTGACAAAATTGACAATGTTATTCATGAAATGATTATCTTCTAGTATGAATTCTTCGTAAAATATGTTCTTCTTCCTGAAAAACTTGAAATCAGTCAAACAAATCTGAGATATTGAAAAGGTAAATAACGATAGAAGAATTCATTGCGTTCAATCTTATGATGATATTAGATTTTCCTATAATAGTAATGTGAGTTTCGAATGTTCATTATCAAAAAGTCGAGTTGAGTTTTTATTGAAGATTAATTTTGCGAGTTCTATTATTCTAATCTAAGGTGAGATAACTGTAAAAACTGAAATCTGATATCATCATATAAGTGATCTTAGCATATTATCTTGTCTATGTTTACTTTAAAATGTCTGAAATTTATTTGGCTGATTTTATCTTTCTTAGGAAGAACAAAAAAAAAAGAAATCTTATAAAATAAATAATGTCTAAAAACTCTCGTTAAAACAAGCATGACAATGAATATTATGATTCAACAATATTCGAATGTTTCTTTTTAATATTTCAAATTTCATTTTGTTTATAGAATTTTTTCGAAATTAATTTTATTTAAAAGAGAAAAAAAAGCAATGATTGGTGTGCCAGTAAATTCTAATTCGGTTTATATACCAATTGTTCAAAGTAAGTCTATAGAGAATTTTGTTGATTTGATAAAATATTTATTTTAATATAATTCAGCTGGATGTTGTAAATCCGAATTTGATTGAACATATCCAATTCATTTAAATGGTATAATTAGTCAAGATGATTTTCGAAAATCAATTAAAAATATAAATGATAAAATATCTTCAAATAATATTTTAATAATTCTTTCAATTGCTTATGGTTTAATCATAATAGGAGGAATTGGCTTTTTTATTGTTGGTGGAATAACAAATGTTAACTCTGTTAAACATGGATTTCCTATATTAGTAGGTGTTGGTATTGCTTTGACTATAATTGGATCAATAATTTTCGCTTGTATATGTTTTATCATACAATCAAGACGTTTTAGACGATTCCGACAAGCCATTAATGAAGAATCAATAAAATATTCATCAAGATCATCAAAACCATGTAGTTGGAGATTAGATACACCGAGAGCATGGTTTGGAGAATATAGATATCATCGGAACAGTCAACTTGTTTATCATGTAAGTAGCAACTATTTTTAAAAGATTTTTCGTTCGTTTTTTTAAATAATATCATTATTTATCTTAAATTAACTAGACGTTATCTTAGATGAAATACTACTAATTAAACATTGAATAGAACAAAAAAAAACAACAACGAAAATATGTACATATTTTATCTTTTATTCATAATCGATCTGGATAAATTTTTAGAAAATCTTAACTAGATAAAATAGTTTAATTTATTTGTTTTGACTTGTTTAGTTGGTAATTGATATTGGTAATTCTCCTAATGAAACATATATCGGATATCAATCGAATCAACATCTTCCTGATAGAACATTATATTATCAACAAGAAGATAATAATGCACCTCCACCTTATTCTTATCCATCAGCACCATATTGTTCTTATTGTAATGTACCGAGACAATATTTGTCAGCTAAATATTGTTCATCATGTGGAAATTCATTAAATTGATAATATTTATTTTATTTTATTTTGTTTTATTCTTAAAACTCATGATTAAATCAGGATTTTTCATGAAATTTTCTTATTATTCTTGTCAATGAATTAATCTCGAAAATTGATAAATAAAAATAAATTCTCTCAATGTCATTGTTATCTTTAACTATTTTGACAAAAACAAAACAAGATAGAGGATATATTGAACTAAGATTTAACTAAATAGAACTTATTAAATGTAAGATAAATAAAAAAAAAAAAAAAAATAAAATATAAAGGTAAGATAAAGTAGGATTAGAATTTGAGTAAATTAACTTTAACATGTAAATGTTAAAATAATTGATGAAAACTAAAAAATGATATTTCGACAAAGTTCATATTAATTTCTGATCAATTTTTTTGCTTTTTTCAAACAATAGTATCGTTAAAAAAGATCTAAAAATCTAATATTCGATTTTGAATTAAAAATTCATTGAGAAATGTTTATATAAATTTCTAGAAAATTGCATAGAATTCGATGGAAGATATTATCAAAAATCAATTAAAGTTTTATGATGAAATTTTTGATAAAAGAATAATTCGAAATAAAATCAATTGTGAATAAAATTTGAAAATATACTTTGATGAAAAAAGAGAAATGATTGATAATGTATTATTCAATGAGCAAAAAAAGACGATTATTAATCAATATGAAAATAGAATTTATAAAAATAATTGACAATCGTCAAATGCGCGTTTGTTGGTAGAAAACCGATATTTATTTCAAATGTTTTAGTTTTTCAAGAGATACGAAATAAACAATAATTTACAAATTGTTTGATAGATTGATGAAAAATCGATTAATACATTTAATTGTAGTTTACTCTATGTTATTGATCATACTTGTTTAGGATGACAATTATCAGAAAATAAATATTTAAAAGAAATCAAACGATATTTTCATTTTATAAAAATATTCATTTTTCTGTAAATTTAATAAGTACTAACTCATTTATTCAAATTTATAAATCTTTCAATATTTTTCAATATAGATTTTTACTATATTTGACAATTTATTCTAAATTGATGAGATCATAACGCTTGATTTTAACATTTAATAGACAATAGAGTTTTTTTTTTTCTAACAATAGCTGATGATTAACACGATTTCTAACAGTAAGCATGGCTAAACAATATAATTATAGCTTAATATATAACTATTAATTATTTTTGATTCGATAACATATATTATGAATATGAATTAAAAGAAAATAAATCATAACTAACAATCTGCTTGTAATCATCCCACTTGATTTATTTTAAATATAATATATAGATTTTCTTATATCGTATGATTGACCATAATAAGAGTATGTAAATATGTAGATACAATGCTTTTTCTAACGAGTTACAAAACAAAAAATCCATAGATCTAACCGAAATTGATTTTTCTGAATCGAGAAAAGAAAAGAGTTCGTTGTGTTAGATGAAATCGATAATTGATTGGAATAAGTTCCACAGATAGAAAAGAAAAGAAAAGAATAGAAAGCCTAGAAGTTATAACTAAGTGTGTCTATTTGTTGTAAATCGAAGCGCTAATAATGAGTATGTTAGCAAATGATATTGACAAGGACAAGCTTTTATGATACTTTGAATGTGTTCAACAAATTTTCAATAATTTTTTTATTTACAACCTTTTAATAATTTTTTATTATGACAATTTCAATAATAAAAACTTATCTTAATTTTTAATTATATTCATATATGAGACAAACGATGGATATTTTTAACGATCTCAAGATTTCTAAGTGATTTATTATTATTATTATTATTATTATTATTTCTTTTACATATGTAATTTTGATAATATGCAGTGAAGCTGTATCAAAATGATGGGTCGATTGATTTTTTCCTACATATGTATGTTTGAAATTTTGAAAAAAGTCGATCCATAGTGATTCTTTTCTCAATAGTATCAGCTACATACATATTGAAGAATCATACTTGAAACAACTGATTTTATGTGTTGTACTATCACGTAAATCATATTATGTATTAACTCTATTTTTCTCTCATATCTTTTATTTTCATGTCTCCTCATATATGCTTGCCTTTAATCACATAAGAACATATAAAGAATGTTTAGTAAGTTTTAATAACTTTCAATCATTATTCTTTCATTATCTGATATTTCACTAGAATAGACAAATATTTACAGCATATACGTATACTAAACATCTAGATTTACTTTAGTCTAGAATTTGAGCTCTCTATATCTTATAGTCATAGAGATACAAGTAGCATAAAAATTCAAAGAAATCTTTCGAATTATTTGTGAGAATTTTTCCGTCGTTTTCTTAGAAATTTTAAATAAAAATTAATAGAAAACACGAGGTTTACAAATTGAAATTGTTTAAACATAAAAAGAAGAAAACCTAATGTCAATGTTTATATATCTCTTTTTCATCTTGATTTATCATTTGTTTCAATCGACTCGGTAATTTCTTCATCATTTACTCGTTTTTTCTGTAGTGAGCATTTTTCGTTTTTGCATTACTCAATTTTTTGATTCGGATTGATTTGCAAATCTCTCCTGTCTCAATTTTTTTTTCATTGAATTTCAAACTGTATCATTTAGCCAAATATCAATAAAATTTGCATGACGGCCAACTTCAAAGTCAATACGATCGTTAAAAACAACTCAATAGTATTCATTTTATTTGTTGTTTCATTTTTGCTATTCTGATTATCGTGAGAAATCGTTACGAAGTTAGTTTTTTGTTAAATGAACAATGACACAAGACAGACACGATACGTAAAAAAATTAAATGTTACTCTTTATGAACGATTTATCGAATAACTACAGGTTTTTCATTTGGATCGTTCGTAAAAATCATTGAAAAAATTCTTATCAATTCTATGTAACGTCACTATTTGTGACTTTAACAGATAGAATGTTCTATTTCTACAATAGAGTAGAACCAAATGCCTACTATCTATTCTGATAATATGAAGCTATTCTACTGAACAACATTTATAAGAAAAGTAAACTACTTAAAAAGGATCAATACTTATCAGATACTTTCTATACATACATATGTATTAGTCTCTTTGCTACGTATTCAAAAAGGATAAAAAAAGTAATAAAATAGTTAAATTAAGCCAGTAATTTAGCTTTTAATATAAACTCACAATAACTGACTTTTCTTCCGGTCAATAAAGAAATCCACATAAAAGCTAACTAGTCATAATAATGAATAAAAGTTTGCAGGCTTATGTATCCGAATGCACTGCTTCTTCTAAAATAAAAATTTCAATCTATTCTCTATCCTCAGAAAAAAAATCAACTCCATTAGTTGCAGAGTAATGAAGATATTCAACTTTTTCTTTCTCTAATAACCAACAAGACACCATACACATTTATTAAAACTTCAAAAAAATATATATAGGCAGGATCGTTTTCAGCATTTATGACAATCAATATTGGGCATATACCTTCACAATATAAGATAATAAAAATTTCAGTGGACGAACAGTTATAGATATTCACTAGACAATTTTAATACACTTTTTATAAGTGAAACTCTATATACTGTTCCAAGCACTTAAGGTACTCCTATGAAATTCACCTATTATTCATTAGATTTTTGGGTTAGGAGTGTTATTAAATATTATATACAAAGAGCACTATACTCTCAATTCGAAATCCACATTATAAAGAAATTCGAGTGATTTTCATTTCATTATTCAAAGTTCTTTATGAAATAATCTATTATATCATGTTATCTCCATCTTATATCACAAATGATATCAATTTCAACCATTGATTTTGATCATTGATTTCGAAACTAAATATTCGTATTCGGAAAAGGAAATCATTTTTGCCTTTTTTAACGAATATATAATGAACTTTTTTCAATTGCATATTTCGTTTCATATATAAACAGACTCGAATTAAAAAAAAAAGCATCACATATAGAAAAATATGTGACAGCCATTATATTTTATTTACAATCGTTCAACAACTTTATTTCGAATAAACAACATTTTCTTTGTAATATGAAACACTTGAATAGTATATTTTCACTAATACATTGCTATTAGGAAAACAACTACAATTGATGTAATTGTTTATCATGCCTTCGAATATCCATACGAATTACCATAATCGTTAAAAGAAATAAATTTAACACCTTCAGTATTACCTCCTGATCCACCACTTCCATCACTAACCCTAGATACACCACCTCCAAGACTACCTCCAGATCCACTAGTTTTATCATTACCACTAGATCCAACACCTCCAGACCCACCACTTCCATAATTCCCACTAGGTACACTACCACCAGGAGTACCTCTTGATCCATCACCTCTAGGAGTATCACCTAATCCCCGGCTTTCATAACTAACACTAGATACACCACCACCAGGAACACC